CCTATGACACAAATTTGTCGTGGTCAAAGTTTGTCAGGTCTTCTCTAACATGAGACACTGCAAGATACGTGACTTCTGTTGTTTTCCAAGGACATACTATGTCAGTAGCTCATCTCTGCACAAGCTCGTACAGAGCCAGATGGGCACGTTTGCTCAGATTCATTGGGGGTTCTTTTGTTTTGTTGGGTTTTTTTTAATTCAGTTCAGTTGGAAGGGATCTACAACGATCATCTAGTCCAACTGCCTGACCACTTCAGGGCTGACAAAAAGTTAAAGCATGTTATTAAGGGCATTGTCCAAATGCCTCTTAAACACTGACAGGCCTGGGGCATCGACCACCTCTCTAGGAAGCCTGTTCCAGTGTTGGACCACCCTGTGGTTAAGGCGGTGTATGTTGGGACTGAAGAAGCATAAGAAATCTGCCTCCATGATTTCTCCAATGCATATGGACATTTGCTGCAAGCCTGGGTACTGCTCTACCAGTTCATGGTGTAACCCCTGCTCTGCCACCTGGCATTTTGTGGGGGACCCCTCTTTACTTTTTGGCACGGCTTTGTGCCAAGTTCTTACACACGCAGCCCAAGTATGGGAAATTTCTTTTATTTCATCTCCCCAGTGAAATTTAGCCCCGATTGTGCCTCCAGAATATTTTTTCTGCTTAAATGAGCACTTGTATTGAATGTAACCCAACACCATGTTGTAACTCGCAACAAAGCTAAAATCTCATATGGCCTACCCATGAAGCATATCAGTGCCGGGAAGGATCGCTACAAATAAAGAAGGCAGTATATACAATTTCTAAGACCTTCAGACCTCTGTCAGGACCACCAGAAAAGATGATAGCTCTCATAATAGTTGCTAACTGGACCAAGACAACAAAATCTCTTTTTATGTGACCTTGAGTATTCAGCAGATGACAGTTAGTAACAAACCATAAAACTATCAGCCTATTCCAGCTGAAACATTATAGTTTATAACAATTTTATTCAACAGATTTTTGCTTTTTATTCTAATCAAGAGTCATCTGTGAACAGACTGTGTTCTTTGTCAAATGTGTGTGTTTGTTCAAAATTTACCAACTGGCTAGGTATTGATCAGATTCCCCAACCAAAATGCTTTTACATTTCTTTCCATCCCAAATTCCTTCCTGCCCTAGCCTTTCTGAGGACTGCAAATGAGTAATCCTTTGTGCTTAATTTGTTATTGAATATTAACATAGACTTTTCCTGTCTTTATACATGAAAGTTAACTCATTTCTAGCCATAATTCTGGTAGCGTAGTTTTTCTTAATTTCTGTTTGTCAAGTGGGATTTGCATGAGTACCCGCTCTGCTCTCGAGAACACTGTTAGCCTGACACCGACTTCACAGCAAAGGCACTAGACTAAGTTCGTGGTTGTTTTACATTCAGGTCCTTCTAAGTACCTAGCTGAAGCTAATATTAGTTAGATTTGGGGCACATTATGGTAAAAGGAAAGACTCACAGTGTCTCATGAAATTTTCGTCTGTCCTGTCTTCCTTCCCCCTCTACTTAGGTATTACTTTTAGCAATGTTGGGAGCATTTTTCAGTTGTGTGCAGCCAGAGTGTGGTGTTTGGGGTTTTTTTTTTGGTTTTTTGTTTTGTTTTGTTTTAGTTGTATATGTGTGTATATACCCTCCTCCTTTTTCAGCTTTAAGATTGACTGACAGAAACAAAGACTAAAACCAAAACTGTAATAAGAAAAAATGACCCAAACTATTGAGGAACTGTTAAAATGAAATTATTAAAGGAAGATTTGCATTGCATCCAATACAAAAATAAGTAAGTATGAAATTTAGGACAGCTGAATTCTTCAAGGTCATTAAAAAAAGTAATGGCCTAATTTGAGTGACTTCAATTAATCCAGTACTCACATGCCTTACAATTTTTCTTTGCTTAGTGAAAGCTAAGAACCCTAAAATAAAAAAAAAAAAAGCTAACAAAGTACTTTTCTATTTTTAGTGTTAATAAACCCTAGTGTTCAAATTAGTCTTTGTAGATCAATGGTATTTTTTCCGGGTAAAAGAGGAAGGAAAAATAAAAGTTTCACAGTCCAGAGTTCTGCTTTGCCCTTTGTAACATTTCAAAGACCCACTGAGGAAAAATACAACTTTACAGAGAAGCCACATAACAAACATAATATAGTTCTTGCATTTATTGAAAAGCTGTTCTATGAAAACTTAATTGAACATTGATTGCCTCTGTTTTGTCTCTGGCTGAACATAATTACATTATTTCCTTTGTTTTAAAAAACCCACACATTTCTTACTGATTGTCATAAGTGAATTTTTACAAGCTCAAATGCGTACGTATATTGATAACTTGTAATGATGAAAATGAAATAAAATTGATTTTAGCTGCAGGAAGTTAAGTTTAGGTAAAGCATGACTCTCACACTGGATTTACTGGAAAATATCTTATTTACACATAGGGATGTTTATATTACTGATCTGTAGACAATTCATGACCATATGATGCTTCACATGTTGCTTTCCACTACAGTACAATTATTTCTATGGGTGACGTTAAGCAGTCACCTCTGCAGTGTGGGACTATATGCTTGGAGCCTCAACATAAGCTAGAAGTTTACTCCTAAAGCAAATCCTCCCACCATCAAATATTTATTCTTTTTGGAGGTATGCATATTATATTGAAATATGATAAACCAAATGCATGCTTTGCTGAGTTAATACATACTTGAGGGAAATGGCCTCTTCTTAAAACATTGGCAAGTTCTGTTACATTTAGTTTTCTACCTCCGGCAGCCACATGAATGCTTGCCTCAGGAAACGCATATGGATGCTATCATTATCTGCTGCAAGTGTCACTGATGGTTACGTTCCTTTTTTTTTTTAACTAATTGAGAAATTAAGGAGGTATCTGAGATAAACTCTCAGGTAGAAAACAGTCGATAGTGAGTGCTGTGCCCTGTCAGTCATTTTGTGATCTCTTACGCGACTTGCTGCCTCGAAGCTTCACAAGAACGAAAGGACTGCTGTGCCGAGCTCAGGGGCTTTCTGCCTCTCTTTCACATAGGGATGGAGAACACATTCATTTTCTGTTTACAAGAAAGCAGAATCAGTAATAAATTCACAGTGTGTTAATCCTAAGGGACTAATCAACAGATACAACACACCTAGAGATAGCATATACAGACCGCACATGAACATACACAGGCAACAGATGCCTAGACCATGCCGTACATACTATATGCAGTACATAAGTGAGGGTACATGTAGTGGCGTACTCTTTGCTTCCATGGGTAAATATTCTGTCAGCTTATATATAAGGTTTCTATTCTTTCTGTGTTTCTGAACATGGATCTGAATGGCGTTGGTTTCATGCAATTTGAATGGGAGCTATGAACCTTCTTCTGCAAAGAAAGTGGCAGATATGTTGCCTCTGGGAAATATTTCTCCAGCTGCTCCTTGCTTGGTGGTGCTGGTGGTGAATGTATGGCAGTGAGAGGAACACATGAACTCATTCAGTCAGATTATGCTGTTTTCACAAGGCTTTTTTAATTCACCATCACAACTGTTTGCTACGTTCATCTGGAAAACAGTTCCTGAAGCAAGACTTCCCTGCCCAGTTGCAATGAATGTCCTGTGCAAGGAAGACCCAGAGAAAGAAACCTAGACATACCTGCCTTTGGGCTCTCTGCTAGCCTAATGAATCCCCAGTTGACATTTCTGAGTTGTAGGGCAAATGAGCTGAGAAGACCTACTAAATCAGAGCCTTTTCCAAGGATAAATGTAAGGATGGTCTTCATGATTTGATTTGAAAGCCATTTCATATCTACATTAGGGGAAGGAACTCTTTTTTAACTTGAAAGTTTCAGTGAGCTTGTAGAGTTTCCTCTTTTCTTCATATTAAAATGACAACTATCTTCTCCAACCTGGATTTGAGAAGTGTCAGTTAACACCTAGTCTCTCACACATCCTACTTCCCTAGCGTAGACAAGGTGTTACTTAGACAAAGTAACAAAGACTGGATTGCAAATGCCTGTTAAACACCGAGTGACGTGGGAGGTCTACAGATAAAAGCATCTTGCAGTTTGGAGCATATTGCGAAAAAATGACTCAGGGGAAAGGAATCAAAACAGGGAGGTTTCTTACTTCCAGCTCCCTCAGCACCCCTGCAGCAAAGGTCCACCGTGACTCAGGGTCGGCGCTGACAGCATTCAGCAGCTCGTGACCAGAAGCGGGGGAATGGCCCAGGACCCAGTGGGGTCTGATGTGAAATGCAACCACAAATGGTACCCTCTGGCAGTGCCTGCACATCAGCAGATCAGAGCTAAAACCTGCGTGTGGGGAAAACCTTCACTGCCACGTTGTTTCCGCTCAATGGACCGCTAGAGGCTTAATGTCTGCTCATACAGGATCTTCTAAGCTGCAGTTACATAAAAAGTCCTTTAGTGTTATGAATTTCGTTTGACTTTCTGTAGCAATCCCAAAATGATTAGTTCTGATAACTTGAGAAGTGATGCTGATTTAGGTTGTTTGCTTATTAACACTGAAAGGGACATTGCTATCTTGGCCCTCAAAAGGGCCAACTAAATTTAAATGAAATTTAAAAAAAAAAATCTTCAAGTGTGACAGAAAGACAAATTTACAAGCAAATTGCTTTAAAAAATTGTTGTAGCTGACATGCATCATTCTGATGCTGGGCTGTTTAACCCTTCTTAGCATAAATAATATTGGGGAATGACAAGCGAAAAATCCAAAAAGAACAAATTAAAGCTGACAGTTTGATTAAACTGGTGTTTTCTCATGAGGCATTTGACTTTCAATGAATTAAAGATTTCTGAAAAAGAAGTGGTTTGGTCTTTTTTTTAATTTAATTAAAATCCCTGGCTGGCACCTCATTTATGCTTCTAAAGCTTTATAACAGAAATAAGAAAACTTTTTATCTCTCACTGCTTTTTCATATGTTCATGTTATTTCATCTTTGTTTATAACAACACTTTTTTCTTACTATTTTAGGCAATGAAAGCCTAGAAGAAAACTATGTGCAGGACAGTAAAATGGGATTTGTCATCAATGCTATATATGCTATGGCTCATGGGCTCCAAAATATGCATCATTCCCTTTGCCCTGGACATGTTGGGCTGTGTGATGCTATGAAGCCAATTGATGGCAGCAAGCTCTTGGAGTTCCTCCTCAAATCCTCATTCATTGGTGTTTCTGGAGAAGAAGTTTGGTTTGATGAAAAGGGAGATGCCCCTGGAAGGTAAAGAGATGTTTCATCTCAGCTAATTAAACCAGACGTTGGGAAGGGGGAATGTTGCTGGGTTTGGTGATGGAGGTTTTTGTGGCTGTTTTGCTGAAGCGTACAGCATGCATACTGTGAGACACAAATGGACTTACCTGGATTAGTCTTACCGATAGCCAGGAATAACACTGGTAACACATGATATATTGATAGCTACAGCTCAAATTGAGACAGGAACTACAGTACAGCCTGTAACATTTCTACTGTTTCACAAGAGGACAAACCTTCTATCTCACAGACTTTTGGTGTCTGAGCTACCACTGGGGCTCAGCACCAAGGCTTTAATAGGTATAAAGCCTAATACAAGTGCTTGGAAATTAATGAAGCATTTGCTTGCTAAGGTTTTGAAGGTAGGGCTGTAGAGCACGTACTTTTCCAATTGGATCTCTGCTGCTCCAAGTGCTGCCGGGACATAGCACTGTATCCTTGCCAAAGACTATTTAGTTCTGCTTGGTGAGCTCCTGTATGCGCTTCTTAACTTTTTTCACTCTAAATAAGCTCGGCTATCCCAGAGTTTAAAGATAGGTCCAAGTAGAGCACGACAAATAATTTTTTTTTTTTTTGCCAGAAGGCACTGTGTTTCACTCGTTTGGGGTCTGCTAAATTCCAGCTGTGGCAGCTGCTACTGTCTACCCCTCCCTAGCAGACACAGTACGTACCCGAGCAATGGGTGAGACAGCAACTTTGTGGACTTGGATGTCACCTTTTTTTCCCTTACAGGAGCCAGCTGACAGAAATCTTTTCCTCTTCATTTAGTTCTGTGGGTTTATTTTTTGAGTTTGAGGGGTTTTTTTATAAATAATTTTAATTCAGCTGCCGAAGTACACAATCCATTATTAACTGAAACCTACTCAGGGGTTACTGCATTGAAGCTAGTTTTCCTACTGAGTTATTAAAGTGTTATAAAAGACTCTCTCACTCCATCTTTGGGCTCATTGCATAAATGCATCTGAGTGCCAACACTGCACAAAGAGGGAGTGCTCTGGAATAAACAAGTTTGCAGTCTGGCATATGCTTTCAAAGAGTATTTCTAAGACACAGTGGCCTTAAAGAAACTCTTATTTCTATTACTAGCCTTTATTAGCAAAACTGACCAACTTTTTTAGCATTTGCTGTTTGCATTGCTTGTTATATTTAAACAGTATATACATCTAAACTGCTCATTACATTTAAATAGTAAGAAAAAGCTGGTCAGTTTGGTCTTCTCGTTGAGCTCTGTATACTTTAGATTTTTTTAGTCAAAGACATAGACAAGCTAGGTCAGACTTTGAAAGTAGAGGCAAGCAATTCTCTTACAGTCAAACACATACTGATTGACACAAATGCATAAATCAAATCTTTGTACACGTCATTTAGATAATACAGAGAAATTACTGCTTAGTGTAGCTTTGAGTTTATTTCACACTATTTATCTCTGTAAAAGCATTACTCCAGCTTTGCATATGCTGCATTGTCTGCATGTTAGTTATGTGGTTCGATGTTTAGGTGTAATTTTCCAATTTTAGCCCAAATCTTATTTATTGTCTTGTCACCTGAGAGCATTTCCGCAACTCTCATCAGTACCAAGCATAGAATTAGAATGAACAGTTCCTGAATTCAAAATACAGGAGAGTTTATATCAGGATATTTCTCTGAGTAGGTCACGATGATAGAATTTATTCCATCCATCATTTTGGTCTATAGCAAGGTTCATTTCTCTTGATTCCCTGGCCTATTTAGAATTTGATGGGTTATTTTAGGTAGGGTATTTTTTTGTTGTTCCTCATTTATATTTTCACAGCTGGAGTTAGCAAGTTTGGGCAAGAAAGTTCAATTAACCTTTTTGTTATGCTGTAATCCTTGTATCAGTCTGTGGCATTTATGACATGGGCAATACCATATCAGAAAATGGTGATGTGTATCTGAAATGTGATCTGTACAGTCTGTCAGATCTTTGTATGCCAGCAGTAGTTTATGCCCATGCAGAATTGCATGTAGCTCCAGATTAGCCCTAGTGTTTCCACAGCTCTTTGTGGATGAGTGAACGTACCATACCATTCTATCAGTACCCAAAATAGCTTTTGTACCTCAGCAAAATGAAAAGATAAACACCACATACAACACCTAAATACAGCAAAGAGAGCCAGATCTGAAATTTCCTAGTGTTTTAGCTTTTCTATGCCAGTGCAAGAACGTCACACAAATATGTAATGATATTGATATTATGTTACTATATCATGTGAACAAATCAACTTCACAAGATGGAATAAATCAATATTCCTTCTTAGAAGGCAGCAACCTTCCTCATACTTTATTTTCAAAATCTGTGAGGTTCTTTGAGCAATTGACTCTCACAAACTCCTAGTTAATATCATCATGGGTAGAGCAGGTAGAGATGCCTGTAGTTATGTTTGCCTGACACTCACATAATTTCCTGTTTTGAACCCCTTACAGCTTCGTCAAACCTTAACCATTTGTTAGATATAACTCTTTTTCTATCTCAGGCTCAATTCATGGTTTCAAGCTTTTACCAAAAGGAGATTAGAAAACATGAAGCACTTTTTCAAAGGTTTATTTCTTCTGTGCAGAACCTTTTCTTTGCAGAGCTTTTACGCAGAAATGTGAAGCAGAGTTTTATCAAAAGGGCACAAACGCAGTCCCTTAACTGACTGCACTGCCTCTGGGAAAAATGACATGGATGTAGCTCTGGAAAATCAGCAACTTTATGTGCTCGCTATACTGGTACACGCTGGTAAAATTGCTGAACTTTTTACTTTCATTGAGTACCTCCCATTTCCTTTCTCAATAGTAATCATATCACTCAAATTCCCAGAAATGGCTGGAGAAGATGTGAGGGATGCAGTAGTCAACACCACATCCTTCTCTGGGCCTACGCAAGGAGCAGGGGACAGATCCATTTTGAGCTCTTGTCTATTCTAGAGTAACTGCCTACTTCTAGCTTATGGCAGATATGAAAAAAATTACCTCTCTAGGACAAACAATTTGCATAGGCCTCTAACCATAAAACACTATGAGACAACTGTCAGGAGAACTTCAGCCCCTACCCTGGACCTCTGATGTGTGGAGAAATGCTAAGGTTCACAAGCTAACAGAAACATTGTTGTTCGTTTTACCCTAAGTAGACTTGGACGTAGACCCATATAACTCTATCTAGTTCCAAATTTCCAGTAGCTGTTCTGGCTTCAGATATGGCAACTCTATCAACTCAAATGCTTTGAGTAAATTATCAAATGCATAATGCAAATAATTCGAACTTATATAGTACATAAAGGAATGTGTCTCAAAACATAGGTGGTTGTTTTGGAGTTTGGCTCCGTGGGTGGTTGTTTTGGCCAGTTACTCCCCAGCATTGTTCACCATTGCTGTTTTCCATTCTGCCTTCCAGGATAGCAAACCTTACTGCCAGTCTGGTATTATGGAGAAAGGTAACTTCAGCCATCTCAGAGTAACCAGAGTAAGAGTGTGCCTGTGACCAGCTGGCTCATGGTCTGGCTCACCTCACAAGTAACTTGTTCATGTGACACCACCTATTTGGTCACATCATTTCCCAGTATACCAGAGAGCTTGCCCTTATATTAAAAGAAAGATGCATTTTCTTATGTACGGAATGTTTTCATGGCTTCTGTAAATGCTGCCGTATGTGTGTGAAATCCAGCTGCCTCCATAGTCCTCGCTCTCTTGGAGCTTCACAACTCTTGTCAAACCCACTTCTTTTGGAATAATAATTTTTATCTTGGACACAGCCCAAAACTGTTAAAGCTGTACATATGTGAGTGAGGGGATGGGGGGAGGTATTCCAGCACTGAACTCATTCTTACTCAAAGCAGAAATTTTTCATTAAGGAAAAGAAGAAAAGGGTAAAGAACTTATGCATGACTCCATATACCATGTGTGTTTGTTAGACCACATTTCTCCACTTAAAATTCAAGTTGCATATCAAAGCTGCAAACATTGTACTACAACTTGTCATATGCAAGACTGTGTAAGACCTTTTAGTCTGCATACTTTATTCCTTGACAGATAATTGATAGAAAAGGGAACAGTATTATAAGAAAACATAAGAATGGCTTTCAACCTAAAATCATATCCCTGAAATTGCCAATTCTTGATTGACATTGCATTAATGCCACTCTGTGCCTTGTAATATATTTTTGCAAAAATGAAAACAATCTGTGCAGGTTCAGAAATTCCATTAAGGGAATGTGGTTTTAGTAATCTTTTATTCCCCTTCCTGAATTCATTTTCCAGCCCAGAGTAACTGATTTTGTATCAGTCTAATACAAGGTCACACTAAAATCCAAGTAGGTTCTTCTTGCTAGGAAGAGACATGTACATTCCTGCTCAATTTTACTCCTGTCTGTTGAGTCTACATTATAAAGTGCCCGGCTCTTATTGCTTCTTGCTATCCTGATTCTTCACAATCCTGAAAACAGCATTCCTTTTTTTATGTTCTTCTTTTGCAAGAACTGCGATATGCAAAGGAATTGTTTCCTAGTGAATTTGAAATTTACCCCTTTTCTAAGCAGTTCCTCAATTAGTAGCCAATTGCCAACCAATGGAGCTGCCTCCTGCTTGGAGCTCCATTGAACTCAGTGGCCAGAGTCCCTTTTCCCATGTAATTCAGTGGAGCTCTGCAGTGGCACTGATATTTTCTAAGCATGCATATTTGCAAGACAGGTCTAAATACAGCTGTAAATATGCAGGTCTTTAAATCATCTTTAACTAGAGAGATCCCAAAGGCTCAATTAAGAAAAACAGACATCTAGAGAGTAATTCTAGCACCTCTTTCCTCTGTAAAGTGCAGAGAGAGCTGAAATTTTGCATGTTTGAACCTCAGAAGGGAAAAGAAAGAAATGGATATGTCTCTCTCTTTGCCCACAACCAAGCATCCCAGTGCCGATTTCTGGTTCTCAGCCCTCTTTCTCTTGTCCTTTTTTAAACAAAGCCCTCCCCCTTCTCATCTTAGGAGGCCAGGCTGTAGGTCCAGCCTCTTTTGTGGTTCTTCCTCTCTGTGCACTCTCCAATATTCATTCTCCCATTCTTGCTTATTTCCTGCTAAGAAATGACCACAGTTAATCACTGCTTTGCACAAGCCACGTTCTGTGGGTTAAAGAAGGAACAGAATAATTAGCAGTAAAGGATGTGCACACATCAGGTCCAACACATGGAAGGCCATGATGGAGGCAGGGAAGCTGAATGTTTATTGTAGCAGTGTTTTATGCTTCCTTTACATTAGCCTTAGGAAGTCGTCTCCTACTTGCCTAGGGCGAGGAAGTAAATTTTGTGCCCGAGCTGCTAACTTTTCCCGACAGTCTCACTGGGCTGGGCAACATAAATAGTTGAACTAGTGCTTACAGTTAACTTATGGCATACCAGTTCAGTTAGCTTGAGCATTTCTACTGATTACTTTAGAGCTCCCAGCGGGGGCTATACTGCAACCAACCTGTATGTAGGCACTAAGCGAATGTTAAAGACATCTTGAAAAATGGCTGAAAAACACACCATCCAGACAGTGCCTACATGTGCATCTTTAGCAGAGCTTGCTGTCTTTGATGTGCAGTTCTTCCTGGACACACAACTTTTTACCCACAGTTTTATGTAAGCAGGGCAGGCAGTCGGTAACTGTGTGGCAATCAGAGCTGTCATTTCCCATGATTCTGCTGCAAATCCTACAGTATTTGGTGTTTCCGTGAAACTCTAGTCCCTGGTGTTAAGGGATGACATGAATATTTACGGAGGCAGAAGGAGAAGGGCAAGGTAAATTTTTATCCTTTGTGTTGCAGGACAGTGACTCGCTTTCTCTTTTTTCTCTTGCAGGTATGACATCATGAACCTGCAGTACATAGAGCCCAACCGCTATGACTACGTCCTCATTGGGACCTGGCACGAAGGTGTGCTCAACATCGACGACTACAGGATTCAGATGAATAAGAGTGGAATGGTCCGATCGGTGTGCAGTGAGCCTTGCTTGAAGGGCCAGATTAAGGTATGCCTCAGGCACTTTCTGCTATAGAAATGTGAATAACCAGTCAGTGTTTTTTTCCCTAAACCCAAGCAAGCTTCTTTCAAGCCAAGGGATAGGACTTCCTTTTCTTCAGGAAAGCCAAAAATATAGAAAGACTCATAGATTAACATCTTACTCTTACAATCCCATATACAGGCCCATGTTTTCTAAAATTGCCCTTTGTAGTGATGCAGAATCTTCTAGTGTGACAGGATTTGAATTTCACCTTATGTGAGAAAGAACAAGATTTTCACTTAATCATTGCCTACAACATTCAGTGGCTGTGATTCACATGACCCATGGGAATCCAGTATTTTGTTCCAGCAACAACACCTGCAAGAAAAAGGGGGAAAAAAAAAGCCTATTTGTATCTCATGTTCACAACAGGAGGTATGGAAACACAAATGAAATCTCTCTGTGTTTACCAAACAGTAGCACTTTTATCAGGCTACAAATAATTTGCCACCTGCCATGTCTGGATGACATAAAGACATGCTCCACCACTATCAAAATGCTATGGATGCAGTAAGTTTAAAATGGCAAGAAGCCCATTGAGGAAAACCACCTTAGAGCAGACCTTCCTTTCTAATTTCATTTAATAAGAACATTTGCAGCTTTTTAATTCTATATTGCTACTCTAAGCAATAAGTGATTGATGATTTGGCAAAGGCATAGTGACATACTCCAACAATCTTGGAGGGGAAACATTATCGGTATTTACTACCCTCCAAAACATCTTTTCCCTGTTTTTGAGATTGTGCAGTTTGTGTATGTGTGTATATGTAAACACCATGCATACAAAATGCCAGCTTCGGCTCCCATTGAAGTCTATTGGACTCTCTCCACAGACTGCAGGAGGAAATGTTAACAAAAAAACTCACAAAGCCAGCATTCAATAAAACAAACATTTTGTATTTCACTACTGCACTTATCTCTGCATATAGATGGATAGGAAGATTCCGGAGAGACGGCTGGATTCCTTCTTTCTGGCAAACAGAGCCAGAGTCTTTGTTGGAGCCCCATGAGCTGGAGATATCCTTAATCTTTCTTTCAGCCTCAGCATAATGAAACTAGGAGTCAAGACGAGGAAACCATCTTCTCAACATTGGATGATTATACTTAGCAGCCTTCACAGCAGACATAGTTACAGCTTTCAGGGACATTTGTCTCCAAAAGAGCTGTTCCGAAGCATGTTCTTGGTCACTCTGTATTGGTTTTACTTTCTACTAGGACCATTGCATCCTTTTAGCAGTATATTTTTTAATTTGCTCTTATTTGAATTTCTATTTACACTAGTGTAATGAGCCCCAAAGAGACTTCCATGTAAATTGGAATTCATGTGTGTGCATGTGCTTGTATGTGTATATATATATATGTATATGCATGAATCACTCTTTGTTCTAACTTTTGTTTACTGCTTTTTACTATGCAATAGATATTAAGCATGGGCTGAGCTACTTGTCCTGACCTGAACCATCTCTCAGATTAAGCCTCTTCTCAAGTTTGATTGAAAATATAACACTCACCGTGCCTCTGTGCCCAAGGGAAAATGGTTTTGTACTTTTAACTCAGAACTGCTCCCCCCAAAACAAAATAGAATTGTCCCCAGAGATTATCCTTGAACTCCTAAGCACAAATTTTAATACACAGGGGTAGATACAGAATCAGGATTCATGTTTTCTAGTTGTTTGAAATGTGCCGTACACAGGAATCGTGTCATATTTTAAACAGCGCAGGCGGTATCTGTTTGCTGGGGGGTGCTTCTGTGTTGTCTTATAGAGGATCATAGCTGAGGATGTATTTTGCATTACAGGTGATCAGGAAAGGAGAAGTGAGTTGCTGCTGGATTTGCACTGCTTGCAAGGAGAATGAGTTTGTTCAGGATGAATTCACATGTAAAGCCTGTGAGCTTGGCTGGTGGCCAAATGCTGACCTGACAGGTAGGGACGTGTCCCTCCAAATGCATTCCCATTTTACAGGGCACAAAGGAGAACGGTGTGTGGTGGAGAGTAAGGTGGCAGCATGCAGAGATATTAAAGGTACATACTTAAACACACATCCCAATGCAGTTTAGGGCAAGTGAAAAGTGCTGTATCTTTTGGCTCAGTTCAACAGCAGTGACAACAAAGACGGAAAAATTTCTACCAAGAAGAAATGACATAGTCTGTCTGTTCCTCCCCTTCAGTTAGCATAAGCGTTGATAAATCTGTTAAGACTACTAATGAACTTAGCAGCATTTGCTGCAGTTTTAGCAGTGATTATCACAAGAGCTCAGTGCATCCTTGTCAGATTAACTTGATACTCTTTCTGATCGTTCTACCATGCAATTAGTAGTACTTTAGCTGGGATTTCAGGCCATTCAGTAACTGACTACCAGACTTTCATTTGGTATAAGGATCATTCTCACTGCACCCGCCAGCAAGAGGAACGTCAACAAAATCCTAAGAAAGGCTGGCAGAAGAAATGGAAACAACTAGAATTGGTGTCCCCTGTGTATATGCTTTGGATGAGTTGTATGCTATGGCATCTTTCTGTTATTTTGTACCTATCAAGGTCAACCTCCACACCTGCTCTGGGCTTTGCAGTAACTATTACCCCAAGAAAAGAGACTTCATGCACTGAGAAGCACCACCTTGACCTTGGGGTTTGCTTTGTATCACTGTAAAAGACAACTGGCACCTCTGCCCCATGCTGCATCTGCAAATCTTGGCTGCCAGTATTCAGCAGGGCATCATTCTTAGTCAGAGAAACAATATGACTACCTAGCTGAAGATCAAATGTGCAACTTATCACATCTTTGTCCTTTAATATGACTGGCTGGCAACTAGATGCTGCAGCATTTAACACAGATAAAGTACTCAAACCTTGATTAAATACTTCCAAGAGATACTGTTAAGCTAGTCACTGAAGCCAAGTGAGCTTTCAGAGGATTTATTTTGAGAGGGAAAGCTGGCCACTTCTCCAGCTAAAAATATATGATTAATCACAATAAACTGGGAAACTTGACCCATTGTCTATCTTGGTTTTCTGTGGAAAATAAGCTATGGTCATGTCCCAGATATGTGTGTATATACCTCTCACACACACACACACACCCCCTCTGTTGTGCAACTGAACCTACTTCAAACAGATTTGTCAGGGTACAGAAATCTCAGTGATCATTCGGTTCCTTCAAGTTTCATGTAAGTGGATTGTAGGAAGAGGAGTTCTTGAAAAATACCTTCTGTAAGGGCCCCAATTGTGGAAAAACATCTTGTATTACTAGACACCAGAAAATCCACAGCACCCTTCATAAATGTCCTGGCCATTGGAAAAGTTCATATCCAAATCCCACCTCCTAAGACACCAGCATCTGCTAATTTTAAAGCAGATATCCACAGACAACCGGGTTCTGTTAGTCTTGGAGGGTCGCAGAATTGTTTGTATCTACTATTCAGGGAAGAAAACTGGGGCTTCTTTTTAATCAATAAGGCAGAACAAGAACATAGTGAGAGATCAATGTGCGCTTGAGCAAATATGGTTCAGTGCTACCAGCTGCCAAAAATAGCTCAAAAGGGGGCATGTCAAAATGACAGGCACTGCTGACAGGAGTTGAGGAAAGCAACAGTGCTGGAAAAAATCTCAGGGGCATGTTGCAATCTATTAACTTTTAATGAAATCAGTAGATGACCTGCTGATTTGTGTTTCTTCTCAGCAAGGTGACTGGACTGCTGCTGTTCTAAAATCACAGTAGCATCAGCCAAATGACAGCATAGTCATCGACTGATTTCCTAGAGAACATCAAAATGGCAGTCTGCGCCTGCACAGCTTCTTCTTCTGTCTTATTGAGGAAAAAACTTCTTTTGTTAACCCCTGCAATTCATTTACTTGTATTGCAGTACAAAGTACAAAGTTGTGAAGAGAAGCTGATGCCATCCTAACCTTTAGAAAAGGCAGATTGAGCTAGATAAACTCTGGCTCTTGAACTTTGTGGGAGTCACCATTGGTACCATTTAATTTGGAATTCTCTTTTCTTGCCAAGATTTCTCTCATCAAATGTGTTTTTATAGCTTGCTTTTGTGTGTTGTATTCATGCCCTGCCAGTCACCATAGCATCTAGACACAGACGTTAACATCTAACATCTCACATTTCAGATTGTTTTTCCCTTTGCCTTAAATCTTAAATGCTAAACATGTATGCAGTTTTAGTCCCATTTTCCATCGCAGATGGAGGCTCTAAAATCCTTAGTCCCTTTAAGAAAGGTGAAGCACATACTAACCCATTTCCTAAGACATGCTTTTCAAGGTGCTCATCCTCTCCATTTGAAAACAGTCTCTGTTGCTCAGCAATCCTTTCCTGACATTTGAATTTTATTTTTAAATGTACAAATTTTTTTTTAGATTGCTTCCCCTAAATATGTGTTCAGTGAGGTGGAGTCAGCAGGCACAAAGGATTTCTCACCACAGATGATAAAAACCTGACCTGACAAATAGTCACTAAAACCAGTATCTTAAGGCCTTGTGCCAAGAAGAAGAGATATCTTTTATAGTATCAAAATCCAATATAAGAAGAATGAATGTCAAGCTAGTAAACCCAGTTTACATAAATCATCTTAAATAACAATAAAACAGAAGAAGAGATATCTTTTATAGTATCAAAATCCAATATAAGAAGAATGAATGTCAAGCTAGTAAACCCAGTTTACATAAATCATCTTAAATAAGCAATAAAACAAGATAGGACAGGAAGTTTTACAGAGTTATTATGAAATGAATCATAAAGGTTTGGGGCCATCAGTTACCCGGGATGTGTTAATGACCTCAGAAAACCTCCTGGATTGTCTTATTGGCCTTGCATTATGAATATAATTAAAAAAAAAAAAATTAAAAACTCGATTAGCCTTCTGCTCTAGAAAATGATTCATGGTTAAAGTGCAAGGAAAAGAGTAGATGGAAGCTACCGAACAGCTTTTTACTAGAAACTTTTAACTGTGAAGCTTTTGCCACTAATTCTCTGACTTTTTGAGGTTTGTGTTAGTTGTTGTGGGGTTTTGGGGGGATTTTTGTGTTGGTTTTTTTTTTTTAAACCTGTAAGTACACCATTTCCTGGGTATCCTCCCCCAGTCTCAACAAGATTCCCCAGCCCACTTTTTCCTAACTGGGAAATGACCCACCTTCACAGGCGCTGACAACCAACAACTGTTTGCTGATACAAGCAGTGCAGGCAGCTTTTTGCAATGTTTGTAGCATATGTGGCTCTTGGGGCTTGCTGGTGCACAGGAATTACACTGATTTAATGAAGCAGATTCCTAAGACCTTACACAGGATAAGCTTAAAGCAATCGATAGGCTTAACTACCATGCTGAATCAGGGCTAAGGCTCTGAAAATATCACTTAAGATGGAATAATATGAGTATGGCTTGATGTTGCTAAGCTTAAAGCCCACATTGAAACTTAACTCTTCCAGCAACCACAGACTGGCTTCTTGATTAAGAAGAGCTTTGCATGTATTAATCAACGAGCAGGAGCTTCTGATTCTTAGTCTTTTATTAAATCAAAGAAGGAGCCAACTTTCACTCAGGGCTGCGGCGGCCAATGGCCAGAGGTTCCCACTTCTAATAAAAAGCTTTTCCTTCACGTTTCACCATAAAAATACTGGTTGGAAGAACAGGTTTCCTCACCTATCTGAGTCTTGAACAGACCACTTTGAGCAAAACAGAATTCCTTTCCTTTCTCAAATAAGACCTCCAGTTGCACATATTATCATTTCTACTGTTTTTGATGTTACAGGTACCTGTAACATCATTACCTGTAGTTAAGTAGACAGCATTACCTGTAGTTAAGTCAGCACGATACTCTTAGAGACAAAGAGTACAGAATTATAAGACATTCTTTCAGTTCATATGACATTGGCAGACATTAAAAGTTCGAGCAGAAATTTTCCATGTCAGGACTTAGCCTCAGGCTGATTTTTTTTAATTTCAACAAAAAACATTTTTTCTTTTTCTATTTCTCAAAATGAGGTTACAGTAAAACTGTTCAACCCTGATCCATACCTCTGCTTACTTCTCCTGTATTTGGAAGGAAGGACTTTACATTTTGGTAGAGGTATCAGTTGGTAATTTTGTGTCACCATGTGGAAGATGCATATAAACTGAGCAAAACTGAGGGCCTCAGAAGCTTTTAGTTCATAGAGGCTGGTTTCTGCAGATATACTCCATACTGAGGAGGAAGGGGCTGAGCACGACTTTTGCTCACCACAATATCAGAGCTCTTGCTAAGATTTAGCAGCAAAACTGAGAGGAAAAAAATGCCTCTCTTACAAGCTCGCTGACACCACTGCCTTTTTCCCTGCTCTTCTCAGCCGCGTCCAACAACCCAGACAGGCAGAGGTGACGAGCAGCCGGTCCAGGCTGTGAAAAGCTGGACCAGAGGTGTTCGTAATGGAGACATCTGGGTGGAGAGGTGACTGGCTAGGAAAAAAACTGAACTTGAAGGGGAACTGAGACGGGGACAGTGAGGGACTGGGAGGAAAGATACTTGAGAGGTGGGGGAAATGCACAAAAGGTGAGCTGGGTGCAAGGGAAACTGGAGGAAGACAGAAACAAGTAGAAGAGGCCATGGATACTTGGGATACAGAAACATATTAAAAGCATTTTGGCACTATGAAGTCAAGAACAGAAATTAGTAAATGCCAGAATGAAGGATTTCAGTAACTCAGCTTCACAACTATAACATCCTATTAGCACAGAGGCTTTTATTTTCCCTGTAAAGTTTATTGCTGGTATTACATCTTCAACTCAGTGGGGAAGGTAGCCAGAGACTCCTTTAACTTGAGTGTGGGAGAGAGCAGTTAAGTACCGTCTTAACTAATACCTATGTTTGCACATCTATACTAGTCATAAAGGAGTGCCTTTCCAGTAATTTTTTGAAGGCATGCATATTTTGTGGGTTTGACTTTTCCACAAGAATTGAATTACATTATTTACTGGAGATGGTGAAAAGAGAAGAAATTAGGAAGAAAATTCCAAATCTCATTTTCCTTTGTAGCATCATGAGTGAATGTTTGGGATACCCAAAATTGATGGCTGCTTTTTGAACATATTTCATCCAAACTTTTCCATGCTGCAGTTCACTCCTTTGTAAAATGGTTTTAATAATCCATGGCACATAGGCATAAACTAATGTTTGGATTATATTGGGAGCGAGAAAAAAAAAGTTCTTTCTTCAAGCAAATACCTTTCTAACACTCTGTTTCTTTTCTGTACGCTGCAGGCTGTGAACCCATCCCTGTAAAGTACCTCCAGTGGAGCAATATAGAGTCTATTGTGGCTGTGGTCTTTTCCTGCCTGGGGATCCTGGTCACCATGTTTGTCACCCTTATCTTTGTGCTCTACAGGGACACCCCTGTTGTCAAATCCTCCAGCCGGGAGCTCTGCTACATTATCCTTGCTGGCATCTTTCTGGGTTACGTTTGCCCTTTCACCCTTATAGCTAAACCCACCACAACATCCTGCTACCTCCAGCGCCTTCTGGTGGGTCTCTCCTCTGCCATGTGCTATTCTGCCCTTGTGACCAAAACCAACCGCATTGCACGCATCCTGGCAGGCAGCAAAAAGAAGATCTGTACCCGCAAGCCACGTTTCATGAGCGCTTGGGCCCAAGTGGTTATTGCCTCCATTTTGATCAGCGTGCAGCTGACACTGGTGGTCACGCTGATCATCCTGGAGCCCCCGATGCCCATCCTCTCCTACCCCAGCATTAAGGAAGTTTACCTTATCTGCAACACCAGCAACCTAGGCGTCGTGGCTCCTGTGGGCTACAATGGACTCCTCATCATGAGCTGCACATACTATGCCTTCAAGACTCGCAATGTGCCTGCCAATTTCAATGAGGCCAAGTACATTGCATTCACCATGTACACCACTTGTATCATCTGGCTGGCCTTTGTGCCTATCTATTTCGGCAGCAACTACAAGATCATCACCACCTGTTTTGCAGTGAGCCTGAGCGTGACAGTGGCGCTGGGGTGCATGTTCACTCCTAAGATGTACATCATCATAGCCAAGCCTGAGAGGAACGTCCGCAGTGCCTTCACCACCTCAGATGTGGTGCGTATGCATGTCGGGGACGGCAAGACACCTTGCAAGTCCAACACCTTCCTCAACATATTCCGGAGAAAGAAACCAGGGGCTGGAAATCCAAAGTAAGTGATTGACTGCAGGTACACATCTACCTGTATATGTTGCTCTCTTTGCCATCCTCTCTTGGTTGACCATAGTTTGCTGAATAGTAAGGTATGTAACATTTTTTCATCTCGTGTGTAGCAGAAAAGGTGGAAATGATCCTTTAGATCTAAGCCTCAGATGGATATTGACATGTTGCTTCTTATTTTCTCTCCTGCTCTCAAGGCAGCCCTGTACACAACTCCCTCTACCTCTGGGGCAGGTCAGGCAGTGGCAGAGGAACCAAGCTCCATTTGCAGCTTCTCCCATCTCTCTGTGCATGTGATGGGAATCTCATGCCCCTACGTGCAGTTGCTCTGCATTGTGTTCAAACTGAGGTGCTATTGTAGCCTTTTGGGAAAGGGGACCAGAAATCTGTGTCTGAGTAGTTGTAAATCACATGTACTTGTCTAAGGCCACTGGGATGTGTGTGTGAAAGCTGGGGATTGAACATGAGTTTTTAAGGTAGTGTTTTGTGACAGTCCTCATGATTGTGATCCAAAAGTACCCTTCATACTATTCCTATGCTCTATTTAATATTCAGAATTATGAGCAATGCTCTTAATCATCATTAGTGTAAACCTGTCCATGTTCTCAAACCCAGTGTTGGTGTGAAAGTTGCAGGCCTGGGAGCTCCTCATGCAGGGAGATGGCCAAAAATCTCTGTAGCTCAAGCGCTTGAATTCCATGCAAGTAGAAAGATGGAGCCTGATCCACCTTCCTCTGACTCTGTGGAAGTTGGATGGGGTCTTCCATATCTGTAAGAAACTAGTGCGGTGTCTCTCCAGCGTAGTCTCTGGCTAACGCTGTTGGTATCTTTAAGATGATGTCTGACAAAAAAAAGGACTATTGAGTATTTTAGATCATGAGAAACTTAGTAACTAATTCTTTGTTGTGCTTACTGTTCTTCTACTTTCACCAAAAAAATTGTACTTTAAAAGACCCAAATGCAATGTATTTAGAACACAATTGATAACATGAGAAAATATTTTATCCTGTTCAAAAACCCAGCTTCACACATTGTCACCTTAAAAAAACAACAAGGCTTACCTGAACTTTTTAGCAATTTGTTTGTTGCATGATTTTAGTAAGATTTTCTTGACCTCTCTGTTGAGCCTGTGTGAGTGGTATGAAGCAAAAAAGCCCTATAGAGTTTTAAGGTGCTCTTCTAAACTAAAAGCTCAACACCCAGTTAATATGCTTCTTTGTCTCAGGTCAAACCTCCAGATCTTCTACACATCAAAATCCCAAACTCTGACCTAAACCTCTTGTGCAGTTACTACTACATTCTTCACCTAAACCAGCACAGATGTGGAGGCATGCTAGGCTTGCCGGTGGAGAAGGACAGCATACCTCTCTGTACACGGGCACGAAGAACTGAAAGCAGTGTAGTATACAAACATGCAGCTTTGGAAATAAAGTCGCAAGACAGCACAAAAAGTCATTTCAGGGCTTTGGAGGGTATTTTAGCTCCTAGCAGAGTCCATTGCAAAGCTTGTGAGGACAGTGCACTGACACAGATGAAGAAATGTGAGTCACTGAGGAAACCAAGAAGGAAAAAGTAGAATTTGCTGGAGCCTTTGAAGCCCCTAGATAACTCAAATGTGTAGTCAGGTCCTTTCTGAAACAGGACTTGACACTACTGGAACATGCTTAATGCCCACAGGAATGGCCTCCAGGCTGATTTTCAACATTTTTTTTCATTTCTTACCAAAATCTGGGATTTATTTGCCACTTTTTCAATAACTCAGATCCCTGAGTATGTTGCTCTGCTTCTTGATTCTATAATTGTCTCTGCCTATGGCCACATTTTTCTGTCTGTAAGTGGCCAGCAGTGCTTCACTCAAGTTTGCTTTTCCAGCTGACTTACAACAGCTTTCCATCTACTTTCTTGTTATCTCTCTCTTCCTAGCTTGGTTTTCTTTTTCTACTTTTTAATTTTCATCTCTCTTTTCCTGTCTGGATCAAACCTCTCCTCTGCTAATCCAGTGAATTCCAATTCGTAAACAGAAAAGTGGCATCCATCTAAATTAAATTGGTGTGCAGAGTTAAACTGAGTTAGTTTTAAAAATGGAAACTAGTTTACATTTACAAGGACAAGTAAAACTTATATAAGGCTTGATAAAACACTCACATGCAATGTTGTGCTGTTAGTTTAGCTAGTATATCTTGGGGACTAGAGGAAGCCAACGCACTCTTCCTTTCTCCTTTCTAAAGTAGAGCAAAAGAATCAACCAGGGAAGTCTGTTAACAAAGGATCTATTAGTCAATTCAAAACCTTCAGCTATATCTGGTGCTGATACAGAGGTCAGAAAATCCTCTTGAAAAATGTCTGTCCCAGCTGCATTACCAACAGAGTTTCAATGAAAATACGTTGTTTAGTAACACTGGTCTTCACTTAAATAACAAAGCAAGCTGCCTTTACTGATCTTTTGCACTCTAAAGAGTGCAGTCATGAGGGTTTGAACATGTCTGTCCCAGCTGCATTACCAACAGAGTTTCAATGAAAATACGTTGTTTAGTAACACTGGTCTTCACTTAAATAACAAAGCAAGCTGCCTTTACTGATCTTTTGCACTCTAAAGAGTGCAGTCATGAGGGTTTGAACTTGTCATGGTTTAATCCCAGCTGGCAACTAAGCACCACACAGCCACTCGCTCAC